TGTTGTGCTCATGTTTGGCCAATCTACCGGTATACCAGATGTCGTTGATTACCATACATGTTCGATTACAAAAAAATAGAGAAAATGATGAGGAACTTTATGTGGGGTTCTAATGGTGAGATGTGCAAATTTCATCTGTTAAGATGGGGCAGAATGTGTGCTCCTAAGAGAGAAGGAGGTCGGGGCATTCGGAAGATTCGAACTTTTAACCAAGTTTTGCTATGCAAGTGGTCGTGGCGTAGCACTCATTTGAAGGATCATCTCTGGTACCAAGTCTTACATGCCAAATATGGTATGGATAGACTAGATCTGTGGCTTTGGGGTGGAAGAAGTAAGAATATCTCTCCTCTTTGGAAAACTATTTTAAATTGCAGGCCAATGATATCTGGTTATTTTAGATGAAATGTTGGTGGTGGTGTACAAGCTTCTTTTTGGCATCATAGGTGGCTGGGGGACTATCCTCTGAAGACCGACTTTCTGAACCATTTTAGGCTTGTGACTAGACCCAACTTCAAGGTTTGTGAAGCAGGAGAAACTAGGGGCTAGTGCATTTTATGGGATATTTCTTTAGCATACAGCCAACTGAATAATGTATTGTTAGCACAATAGTGCCAACTCATGGAGTTGTTGGATAAAGTGTATTTATCTCAAGATGCCGATGATGAGTTGATCTGGGAGAATGAGAGTGATGGTGTTTTCTCTATGGAATCTTGCTACAATCTTTTTTTTCATGACCGATGGAGATGGTCATGCACGTACATCGCGCAATTATAGAAATAGTCAATCCCACACAAAGTTCAAATTTTTATTTGGCTGGCAGCTCACGATAAAATTCTGACCATTGATAATTTGATCAAAAGGGCAAAATTCTCCTTAATGTCTGTTTGCTATGCAAGGAGGATGGGGAGATTGAGTGCATCTCTTAATTCATTGCCATTTTACGTCAAGAATTTGGTACTAGCTTTTTTATATGGTTGGGATACAGATGGTTCATCCTCATTTGGTTTGGGTGATTGTGTCGACTATGACAGTGCCCTTTCTACTTAAGACGGGACGTGTAATATGGAAGATTGTAGTAGGTGTGATTCTCTGGGAGCTATGGAAGGAAAGAAATAAAAGAACTTTTGAAGGGATTGCTTGTCCTTTTGATAAGTTAATCCATACCATAAAATGTTCCATATGGTCGTGGTTATCAGTGATTCAGGATTGGGGTATTTCCAAAGTGGATGTGATGGCCAAGATGCGAAATTTATTCTATCTTGGTTCTAATTGCTCTAGACCGAGATGTATATGGGTGGCACCGTGTTTAGGAAGCCTAAAGCTTAACTTTGATGGTAGCTCCTTTGGAAACCCAGGATTAGCAGGGATTGGAAGCGTGGTGCGAGATTGCTCTGGTAATGTTATTTCTCCTATGCTAGTCCGCTAGGTAACTGCACGATTGAAGGTGATTCCTTTAATGTTATTAAATGGTGCAAAAAAGAACTGAAAATCCCTTGGCAGCCCCGGTCTTTGTGGTTGCACGTGATAGACTTGGTAGATGGTGCCTTAGTTTCGATTTCCTTTTCTAATATTTATAGGGAAGCCAATAGTGATGCTGACCTCTTAGCTAAAGGAGGTTCCTCTATCCCCTCTCTTTTGATCTCTGATGATGTAATTTCTTTTTTATAGTTATCAATAAAAGTAGTAACCTTGGTAAAAAAAAAAGAAGGTTGCGTCCTTATATAAACTTTTTCCTACGTAGAAAAGTTTCCTTATAACAAGTACACGAGTGAAATGAATTCGTAAAGTAACCACTATAGAGCTAGATCACATCAATAAGTTTAGAATTGACCCGATCCAGATCTGATAGCCTGATTCATGGACCCAAATTTGGATTCGAAATCCAAATCTGGACCCAAAAATCATATCTGAAGTACATGTGGATTGATCTGGATCCGACCCGGATCCAGATCCAAATCCAACCCAATTTTTTAAAATAGTAAATTTTTATTTTATATATATTTTCTTCTTAAAGTATATATAAAATCCCGATCTAGATCCAGATCTGGATCTGATATATACTATTTGGATTTGGATCTAAATGTATACTATTTGGATCCAGATCTAGATCTGGATCCGGATCTGAATATCCTAGATCTATTCAGATCCGGATCTAGATCTAATCAGATCCGGCCCCCAATCAAACATGTTCTCGCCCTATTTTCATGTAGTTTGACAAAAAATTTCACATTTTTCCCTCTTATCTCTATTTAGAAAGGAGTAAAGGATCAACTCCATATAATTGGTGTAAAACTCAGATGATGATCTATATCTGCAAATAAAAATAAAGGGTCATACTTCACTAAGGCTTCTTCGTTGGTGCCTTGATTTTTCAAAGGTTCAAGTAGGCTCGTCTCGAGGTTAATCCTTGACATGGGCCTTTTCAGTAGCTGATGGCCCATCTTCTCCAAGTTTTAAAGGTTTTCCTTTGTTGAGATGTCAACTGAAGCTGCTTTGCCCAATATATCATCTACATGTACCAATCAAAGAGAGAATGTTCACATATTAATAATATATAGGACATTTACGATGTGAGAGCTTCAACAAGCATTATCTGAGCATATGTTTTTTAACTCGCCTCGGTCTCTGACTTGGCCCTGGCTCAGGGCGAGTAAGTGGGTGATGCAGAAAAAAAAATAACTTTTTTTATTATTATTAGTTTTTTTTAGTTTATCTTTTAACTCAAGAATAGGAGCTGCAGAGGGATAAGGTTAAATCTAAGAGGAGTTTTATCTTTTCAACAATGGTCTTCTTGAAGATGAGATGATGCAATGGTTGCATCAGACGTTGCAGCGGTTGGAGAATAAAGTTCCTCATCAAAGGTTGCAACGGTTGGAGAATAATGTTCCTCGTGAAGAAAGTACTAGAAACCACATTAATCTTGTATCAAGAATTCCACGACAAACCCAAGGTGTTGATTTCGAGCACAACGAAGATTACAGGCCAGATCCCTATTGGGCGACCACTAGATTTTGGTATTAAAGTCAATCTCCCATAATTTCATGGTAAGCTCCACATCGAAGGCTTTATTGATTGGTTAAGTGCAATTATTTTGAATGAAGTGAATTGCTAGAGGAACGCAAGGTTAAACTTATTGCTACCAAGCTCTGCGGGCCTGGTGAGATTAAGTTCAACAATCCCGACTTCATAGTGGGAAGGTAAAACTTACTGACTGGCAACAGATGAGAAAGAAATTGAAAGAAATTTTTCTTCCTGTAGATCATGAGTAAATTTTCTTTTAAGAACTCCAAAATCTTTAACAGAATGAAAAAAAAGTTGAAGATTATACTGGGGAGTTTTATCGATTAGTTGCTCAAAACAACCTCTAAGAGATAGAAGGACAAAAGATTGCTCGATATGTAAATGGCCTTCAACTTACCATTAGGGATACGGTTTTCCTACATCGATCATGGAATTTAAGTGAAGCTTTTCAACTTGCTTTACGAGTAGAAACTAAATATCAAGGGAGCAACGACAAACGATTTTACACCCAAAAAGAGGTTTTACGCCAACCAAGATTAATGAAAAAAAAATTATATGGCAAAGTTTATGTGTTATCGATGCAACGAACCAGGTTATTGTGTGTTTGAATGCCTAAAAAAAAGGATGGAGGTACACTTGACTAAGGAAGACGAAGAAGTTCCAGAAAATCAAATTCAAGAAATAGTCATCCATGGTGATGAAGAAGGAGATCCATTTTGAATCAAGCTCGAGGTCGAGCTTCTCCCAACCCCGGGAAAATAATACAAGAAAAAGAATATTAAATTTATTATTATTAGTTTTTTTTTAGTTTATCTTTTAACACAAGAATAGGAGGTGGGCAGGGATAATTCGGTGGGCATGAGAGTTTATTTTGTGCGTGAATTGATATCTTATCAATTGGTTGGTTAGTTTACGAATGTAAATAGTGCGTGAATTGATATCTTATCAATTGGTTCGTTAGTTTAGGAATGTAAATAGGATAAGGTTAAATGTTATTGGAGTTTTATCTTTTTAAGAATATGAAGCTTTTGATAAAATGTGGGAAGCAAATCTTTTTGGTACGTGAGGTTAAGAGATAGGGATGAGAGAGAAGATAGAAAAAAAAGGAAAAAGTTTATCTTCTCTTTTTTAAGTCTATTTAAAGGAGATCTCCCTTCATTGTAAATTAGTGAATGAGTTGAATAGAATTTGGTTTCGTGAAGAGATTTCTTTCAGGTGGACCCTTGCACTGAGAGAGGGTATATTCTCTCAACCTTTTCTGTTTTATTGTTATTTTTCTGGTTTATTTTCTCCTTGCATCAGTGGGCTTGGCTGAGCAGTGTATTGGGCTCAAACGACGGTGAAAAATAAAAAACAAAATAAAAATTATTTTAAAAATTAAGTAAAAAGTGAAAAAGTGAAAAAAAAGCCAAAGACAACACTAGTAGTCAAAAATAAATAAATAAAATATAAAACATGAATTTTGCATGACATTTTAGAAAATGCAAAACAAGAGGAAAGTATAAAATAGGGCACATGACAAGGAAAACTTGCAAATCATTGTAAAAAAAATAAATCCAAATTACATAAATAAGTTTTGCACATTGGTCCACATATTAATATATTTTTATAATTTTTTTAACTTTTTAAGTGGGCCTAATTGCACCTGAGTACCCGGCAAGAAGTTGAGCAACTCAGCCAAGTCTGAGTGGACTTAGTCAGTTTTGAATCATTGATCTGAGCTGCGCTAGTTTCTGCAGGTGGTGTTGTTGGAGCTTCACAAATTCTTATAGTTTTAGTCACAAAATTAACAAAGGTTTTATGAGTAATTTACCTATGGTTTGCATATCTTGGAATTTAACAAGAGCTTCATGTAAGATTCAACAAAACCAAGACCATGCTCTATTAAATGTTGTAAAATTTAGGCTGAGCTGCTGAATTTGTGATGAGCCATTTTATAAAAGTTGCTCATAGTAGGTGCCCCTTACTAGAAATTGCATTTATACCTGGATTCTGAGAAAATTATCTTTCGACTTAAGCGCTTGAAATACAATAGAGTTATGAACATCCACCATGTCTGCACTTGCTTGAGACAAAGTGTCCACTAATGGCGAATTACCCTTGTTGTAAAGCCATCGCAGTACACCCCAACCAGCAGCAGCCTTGGCACTATAAATTTCTTGTGTTTTCACTGAACCAGTCCCAAGAGAGATGACAAGAAATTGAGCATAATCCAATGGTTTGGTTTGAAAAAAATCCGGATTGTCTCGAGAAAGCTCTTTTGTCACCTCACTGATTGCTACTAGTGTCTGCAAATGGAAGGAAAGAGTATAAATATAACAAAAAAAGTATGTTTGCTGAAATTCCTGGTTCATTGAAATGGGGGGAGAGAGAAAGAGATTACAGGATTATTAGCAGCAACCCCGCCATCAATGAGGTGAAAGAACCTGACCTCTCCACCAGACCCTTTATTCTCAAAATAATGGGCAAGCACATAGGTTGGTGCTGCAGAAGTACTTATGCAAGTGTCGGAGAGCAGTGCATCCTTTGAAGTGCTGCCATCCTTTAGCTGTAAATTAAGGATCATAAAAATATAAGCCGTCAACTCAAAAAGAGCAAGGGTATGCCCACAAGAACATAGTTGGAAGTAGTGATAAAAGATATGGAGGCTTATGGCTTCACTGAGGAAAGACCATTAATATAGTAGAATGGCGGATCAGGATTCGTGAAGTGACCCTAATTAGTTGAAAAAAGCCTCTCACGATAATGAAAAATATAGGGTTCAATATCAATCATATTTGAATTCTTTGGGTGTTATACAAGCGCACGTGCGTGTGCGCGAACAAAGAGGGATAGAGCAAACCTGGTAGGACGCAAAGATAGTAGGTTGAAGTAAGTTGATATCAAAAGTTGGATGACGATATGGGTCAAGGGGTCATGGAGCCTCTTGTCTTCAAGATTCTCACGCACAAGGCTCCTCAAATACTTGCCATCATATTTAGGACCTAGCACAGCGTTCATCATCTTTAAAGCCGAACTGAAAGGACCTCTGCAGCCAACAACAGCAACAAAAAGACAAACATCAATAAACCACTTAACATGACAAACCAGTGTTTTAAAACTTGGATTGGTGGGGCAGATTAAAGAGAAAAAGTGTAGGGATTTAGACTACATTAAATACATTAAGAGTGGGGATCAAAAGGTCGTGGTCAAGGATGAAGTGGTCAACGAAAGGTGGATAATTTATTTTAAAAAATTATTAAATGACGAACACAATAGTAATATAGTTTATTAAGAACCGTTGGCATGAATGAGGGTGGAGGTCATAGATACATTTGTAAGATTAGGATATCGAAAGTGAAAAAAACTTTGAAAATAATGAAGATAGGAAAGGCTTTAGGACCAAGTGATATCCCGATAGATGTTTAGAAGTGCATGGGGGAGATTGGCATTGACTAGCTAACCAAGTTGTTCAACAAGGTGTTGAGAACAAAAGAAATATCTGACAAATGGAGGAAATTTATTGTGGTACCTATTTACAAAAACAAAATAGACTTACAGAATTGTGCGAACTACCGAGAGATCAAACTTATGAGCCACATTATGAAGCTCTAAGAGAGACTGATTGAGCATCTAAGGCATGAAACAAGTGTATAAGAAAATTAATTCAATTTTATGCCAAGGAGGATAACAACCAAGGCTATTTTCCTACTTAGGCAACTAATTGAGAAATTTAGGGTGAAGGGAAAAGACCTCCATATGCTCTTCATTGATATAGAGGAAGCTTGTGATGGAGTACCTCGATATTTGATTTGGTAGGTATTGGAAAAATTTAGGTGTAGCACCAATAAGTAATAAGGTGAGAGAGAGTAGGCCTAGGTGGGCTAGTCATGTGTAACCAGACCTAGTACAACACCCGCTCAGAGGTGCGAGTTAGTTCAAGGAGAAAGCTCAAAAAGGGCAAGGGGTAGGCCCAAAATAACATGTTGAAAATAGTGAGAAAATATATAGGACCTATGGCCTCAATGAGGATATAGACCCTTAATAGAGCGGAATAGCAGACCAAGATTCATGTAGCCGGCCTTAATTAATTAGAAAAAATCTTTGATGCTGATGATGATCGGTGAACAGATTGTTCCCCCACAAATTCCTGTTGAATCGCTGGATCGATGATTTGGATCAGATATGACTAGGTGATGCAAAACACATTAAAAATAAATAAAATACAATAAAAAAAAAATAGATTTATGGGGTGGAATTAAAATGGGACCCACAGAGTTTTAGGGGGTTATAGGTCGAAACTTATACCATGCTAGAACAAGTTCGTTCCCCTCCAATTCCCATCGAAGTTGTCGATCCAGACAGGAAATCACCAGGTTTTAAAACACAATTAGAAAGTATGACGTTTTATTATTCAGTTCTAATAAACTACTTCGAACCTATATTAAAATCGGAAAGATATTCTACTCCCTACGTAGTACACCTCCATTTACTCCCTTAAGGAAACACCCACCTAGGATTAGTTTTAGGACCCCAATTTTGGAGCATATATACTATTCACATAGATTATCCTTAATAATAAAAAAAATTTCTAATTGCCCCCTCTAATCCCTCAAAAAAATAAGGCCTCACCATTAAATAAGAACCGTCTAATTTTTAAAAGGTTAGATCTAACTGTTCGAAACTCAAGTTTCAAATTAGTTTTTTTGAAAACAATCATCTAGTGATTCTAAGGTGGTTAACAAAATTTCATATAGAAAAAAAAAAACCTCTTGAGTAGGTCATGGAGTAGAAATAAACTATACTCCCGAGAGAGCATGGTATACGTGCTCCTCTTAAAACTTGAATTTTAATATATATGCCATGTTTGGAAGTGTATTCACCACTCATGTATGTCTTACCATGGTTCTGGATCGATTTTACGTGCGTGACATGTACGGTGCTCTTACTCAAATGATATCCTTTATCACTGATCAAAACTATAATCATTCGTGGGAAAAAGTTTAAATTCCCCTTCCAAAAATCCATCTTATAACATGTATTTGTTGTCGCCTATTAAAATTATAATTATTTGCTGCAAAAAATTTAAATGAAGTGCAGTTCAATTGAGGTCCCCTTCCAACAATTCAGCTTAAACATAGATTGAGAATCCAAAACACATCAATATTGCTTTCATCATTTCTCATGCATATTAATGCATCTCTGGTAATTAAGGAGTCCAATAACGGTGTACTTTCACTAGGGGTGGAAACAGGTCAGGTCAGGTACGGGTCGGGTCCGGCTGAACCCGAACACATACACAAATAGTATTCGGATCCAAGTTTTGGACCGTTGGGTTCAAAAGTTAGACCCACACCCATACCTATTGGGTCATGTGTCTATCCTATCGGATCCCGGGTCTGGTATGATCGGGTCCATTGCCACCTTCACTATGACAGTTTTTTTTTTTTTTGGCCCTTATTTTCCCATCATATACCTATATTATTGGCAACAAGGTCATAATCACCTGCAATTAGATTTCAAGCCGTCTAATTTGTCGTTTATTAGCTAAAGATGACTACTAGTTCTTATTGTATACAATCCTTAATACACCCAAAGGTTGAAGTATTTTATCTCCAACAGTTTACAGGTACGGGACGGGTATGAATTGGGTGCGGGTCGACCCGTCGGATCCAAATGTTGGACCCATACCCAAACCCGTGTTAGGTATTCCCCGCAGGTCCCGGGTCAGGTCTGGGTTCATTGACACCCCTAACTTTCAAGGTTCAAAATATATTTTTTCTTAGGGGAAAGTATATAATGAGACCATTTATCTTTGATATAAATGATACAAGATGGTCACAATTAATCTTGACCATTGGATGTGAAATTGAGTAGCTACATTTATTTCATTGACTAGACCTAAAGTTCCAAAAAAACTACCTCGAACTTTGTGACACACCCCAAGCTATTAGCTTTCATATCGGACGGTTATAAGTAATCGTGACCTCCCTTACCGTGGCTGTGGAAAAATCTTAGGGCAATGCTCAAGGTAGAAGGGGACTGTCTTTAGCCGCATAAAGGGGACGATTGTTTACGTCAGGTGTGGTGAGCATGGCGGTTACAAGCCCACCTGAGCTGGTCCCTGCTATTACATCAAAATGATCCACAAGCCTTGCGTCCTCTCCATCTAGCTCCTGCCATGAAACACTAAAATCCTTAATACCCCATCTAACAAAAACAATAGGAAAATAGTAGTAAGGGGACCTACTTTTACAATATACTAAACATCCATATTGTAGAAGGATGTGGTTGTCTCTAAGAAATTTACAATTAATGAAGTTAAAATTATATTACAAAATCTCTTTCTTTATTTTTAATATTTAGAGAAAATTAAGGAAACCCCCAAAATTCATTGTTTAGACATTCTACTCTCAATACTTTTAGAATCACATCCATGACTCAATTACTGTTTTTTCTTGCTTTTACCCCCATCAAAAAAATATTGTTTTAAAGACTAAATTACAATTCCCCTCATTTACCATACCCATTAAATCTCTCTCTACCCAACCTCTCTCTCTCTAAACCCCCCTCTCTCTCTCTCTACCCATCCTATCTCTCTTTTTGTCTCTCTACCCAACCTATCTCTCTACCAGGATAGGGTATAGGAGGGGAATGATAGTTTAGTCTTTAAAACAATGACTTTTTTTATTAGGGTAAAAGTAAGAAAAAATAGTAACTGGGTCATGGGGGGACGCTAAAATTATTTGGAGGTAAAATGTCTACAAAGTTCACTTTGGAGGTATCCAAAATTTACCCTAATATTTATCGGAAGAAGTTTATATAAGGTTGCAACCTTAAGATGTAGAATTAAGGTTGCAACTTAAAAATCCATCGGAAAATTTTGTTTTAATGTTGAAAAAGCCTCTAATTAATCATCTCGACATCAAGATGTATGAATATGAAAAAAAAAAAAAAATTGAGTCTAAAAAATAATGCACTTGCAACACATTATCTAAACTATCCATTTTCAAGATTTTCATATGTTTATAGATCTACTTCATTTGAACTATTTTTGGAGTTTAAAATTTCATAATTAGAGTTGGAAATAGATTTTCAGGCAATCCTAACACCAAAATTACATTTTATTATAGAATTTGGAGATATGCCGTAATTGAATTGTTCAAGGTTGCAACCTTATGCAAACCACACCCATATTTATTTTCTTTTTAGATTCCTATCCATCATGTTGGATATTTTCATTCCCTGAAGATTTTTAATCCAAAATCCATATCTAAAACATATTTTGGAGAGGTGACTATAAATAGATAAGGCTACCTACTCACATAAACCTTATCCACAATAATAATATAGTAATAGTTACAATTTTCCGATCTACTAGTGCTGTACGGTATATGGTAAATCAGGACGTATCCACCGTTAGTTCCTGATGATGGGTGGTAGAGACTAAGTGTAGCTCTCTTTGAAATAGAATAACATAGTTAATCTCGGCCGTTCCCTTCTATTGAATGTATAGCGGATGGCTGTGTAGTGGAAAACGGATAAATGATGTCTTATAATGCACCATACAGCGTAGGAAAGATCTCTGCTACAATTTTCAGCGCTAAAGAAAGAGAAATTAAGATGAGATTATCTGTGATGATCATGGATTTTAGACTTTCAACTGTCTAACATTCTGGTTTGCAAACTAGAAGGTAAAAATGATTATAAAGAAAGCCATGACTTAGAAAATGCTTCAATATCAAAAGGAAAATTGTTTCACGAGGGCTGGACCGCATTTCTAAAATATGGGGTCCAGAGGTATAAAGCATCCATCTTTAGAGGTCCATCTAAAAACAAGTGCAACTAACGGTCCAACTATGTTTTTAATATAATTATTACTTCTAGTTTTCAAAAAAAAATTTCATATTCATGATCTCCATGTTAAAGATTATATATTCTATAAAAATTAGGATCAAATTATAGTTAAAAAATATATTTAGTGCCGAGCCTGCATTTCTACTATATGCAAGCTGGCCACATAGAAACTGTGTCCATATCAAAAACCAT